GCCTAAAAGAAAAAGGGGGAGGAAAGAAATAAAGGAAGTGTAGATTCTTGGATCAGGAATCATCTACTGGCCCAGATTTGGCAATACTGGTCTCCTCTGATCTGGATCAGACATCACAGGCCCTGTCCCACACAGCCCTTTCCCAGCATAAAGAAAGCAAGCCAGAATAGCAAGAGGACTAGGGGAAGGCCTCCATCTCAGGAGGAAGGAATAATGACATAAAATACAGCTGAAACCAGTTCCCAGAGGCACAAAGGATTGTTTCCAGCACAAAAAGGAAGACTTGAAACACAGACTCCAGCTGAACTGGGCTCCCAATGGCTAGAAGACCAGCAGATGGGAAGAAGAGGAAAATGCACTAGCTGTTCCAGAAGTCTGCAAGGAGGTTGTTTCAGAGAATGGGGTGAGAACGCATCCACAGTGGAAAGTATGAGAATGTGCAATAAGACGGTCATTCGTTCGTCCTTTCAGTGTGCCAGAAGCTGTGTGAATGGAGACTGATTGCGACCGAGTGTTGATGGCCTTTCCAAACACTATTCTCTAGTAAAGCAAAGATAACATAAGGTGGTACAGGCCTCTGAGTCTGAGGCCAGCCTGGTCTACAAAGCGAGTTCCAGGACAGCCAGGGCTACACAGAGAAACCAAAAATAAATAAATGTACATTTAAGACATAAATATAGTAGGGGACTTGTTGGGAATGAGGTTTCAAGGGGAGGGAATAGAATAAGAAAGGGTAATGGAGGTGAATAGGATCAAAAACAAAATAGATGTGTATAAAATTGTCAAAGAATTTTCTCAAAATGTAAAGAAGTTCTTCAAATTGCATTTTTAAAATTTATTAAAAATTACATTTATTTTTAAATCCTTGATGATTATATACATGTGTATAATATATCTTGGTCATATTCTTCACCCACTTCATCATCCTTACCAACATCGTCCCCATCTTCCTCCAGCTTCATGCCTTTTCATCAATAACCCACTAAGTTCAATTAATGCTACCCATATAAGCATGGCACATGGGATTGTTCACTGGGGCTTGGGGAAACCTACCGTTGGCTTCTTCCCGCAAAGAAAAGTACTCTCCCTCCTTCAGCAGTCATCAACTGCCATTAGCTTCTCAGGTGGCAGCGTCTCTTTTCTCCATTATGCAAATTTATTTTTTCTTTAAAAATTTTCCTTTTTGAAAATAGATTGTTCTCTCATACAATACATCCTGAGCACAGCTTCCCCTCCCTTCAATCCTCCCAGCTACCCCCACCTCCTCTCTTCCCCATCCACTCCCCCTCCATTTTCTCTTCAGAAATCAAATTGCATTTTAAGTGATGCAACAGAGCCCCCTTCTGGTCAAGCCGAGGAACTGGCGTGTGAAACAGCGTCCCAGAGTAGCTGGCATTTGTGCTGATTTTGGAACAAGGACAGGACAGAGGGAAAATTATTTCCCACCCAAGGAAGAACTTCTGTTGATAAAATACATGTTTGTACTTGCCTGTGCTCCAAGAACTCCTGAGTTCTAGGCTAGTCTGGGCTACAGAGACCAAAATCATCTTTTTGTCTCAGAAGACCGAAATCATCACCATCATCACCAGTGACATAACCGCCACACCCAGAAGTACTAACATTGGGACCATTTTGGTGTTCTGGCTTCCAGAATTATTTTTGGTTTGAATATATTGCTATTATTCACATACATACACACCACCACCACCAACAACAACAACAACAGGTAAACTGGCCTCATCCCTCAGGGTTCTGGCATACATATTCCCCACATTGTTTGCAAAATACACAGATCCTCTCTTGGCAGAGCCCAGAGAATGCAGAGAACTATTTCAATTCAAGCCACTGTTCATATTTCTGCCTGCAACCCCCTGCCCTGTGGACTATGCCTGCATAGCTGGTTCTCAAGGCCCCTCAGATAGACAGAAACTAGGCAGTGCTGGTTAAATACTATCGCCAGGGGTTTTAGTATAGGAGAGCTATACCCTAGGCAGTTTGGACTTTGGAAGTCCAGAGGGTTCACAATCACTGGGAAGAACACAACTAGACAAAGATCCATCGTGAATTAAAGCTCTATTGGGAGAGAAATCGTAACCTCAAACTAACCCGTCATGGAGGAGGGAAGAACCAAAAGGAATATAAAATTAGGCAAGGGGCTGTCTGCAAGGGACACTCACTGGAAAATAACTTGGCATTCACAGAAACAGAAGAGAAATCAAGAGGAATGAAGAGTTCTTTACTTTTGTATGATTGTGACTAACATACCTGAGAGAACAGTTTAATGGACAAAGATGTATTGGGGCTCGTGGTTTCAGACAGTTTGGCCCATGTCTCTTAGCTTGGGCAGAGCATCATGGTAGCAAGGGGAAAAAGAAGAAAGGACTGTGGCCCAGATAAAACTTTCAAAGGTACATCCCCAGTGACCTACTTCCTCTAGTTAGGTCCTGCTCCTAAAGTTTCCAGAACTTCCAAAAATAGCTCCGTCAACTGAGATCAGGTGTTTAAACATTTTCCTGAGGAAGACTGTCTCGGTTTGGGTTTCTATTGCTGTGAAGAGACGCTGTGACCATGGCAGCTCTTACAAAGGACACATTTGATTGGGGTGGCTCACTTATAGTTTCAGAGATTCCGTTCATTATGACCATGATGGGGACAGCGTGCAGGCAGACGTGGTGCTGGAGCTAAGAGTGCTATGTCTTGACTGACAGGCAACAGGAAGTCAACTGATGGTCACACTGAGGGAAGCTTGAGAAAGAGAGACCTCAAAGCCCGTCACCTATAGTGACATTTCCTCCAACAAGGCCACACCTCCTAATAACAACACTCTCTTTGGGGGGCCATTTTCTTTCAAACCACCACAAGGACATTTCAAACTGTAACAGACTGTTCTGGTTACTATATAGTATGTCTACGGGGAGATACATTTATAAAGAAAAGGTTGAATTGGGTGTGGTGGCACATACCTTTGATCCTAGCACCAGAGAAGTAGAGGGAGAAACAGGCAGAGCTCTGTGAGTTCGAGGCCAGCCTGGTCAACATAGTGAGACCAATGTCTTGGGGGCAGAAAAGAAAAGCCTAGGCTGGGGTCATAGCTCAGTGGTCCAGCAGTAGTGACCAACAGGAGTGAGACTCTGGGTTTGATCTCCAGCACTGAGGAAGGAGAAAGAAAGAGTTCTTTGATGAAGCTTTTCATTTGAAGGCTGAAAGTAAGACAGGACAGACACACTGGTTCAGCCTCAGGTTAGTGGCTTTGTTATCTGAGCATGGCCAAGAGTGAGATGATATCCAAAGACAGGCCTTCAATGAGGGAGGCCCTAGAGTTGAGCCCTGATAATAAAAGCAACAGCATTAACCACCAGCCAGGGGACTGGAGTGATTCAAAGGTTCTTACCCTCATCAGAACTAACTCAGGGGTCCCCCAAGCACTACCTTAATCTCTTCTGAGGGTGCACACCCAGTTACCCAAGGTTCCCAATATGCTTCCTCGTGTGACAGTGACACTGTGGGGGCCAGACACAACACATGAACCCTTGTGGGGATGAGAAGACCCAAACCACAGTTTGTTAATACCAGGAGCAGTGAGCAATGTGCTCAGAGGTCTCTGCATGTGTCCACTGCTCATTTCAACACAAGATTCTTTCCTACCTAGTCCTAGACATATATGAAGATTCTCAGCTCCCAGACTCAAGGTACCCTTTCCCAGAGGCCTCGGGCTCTTTAAGATGTCCTGTGGAGTTCCCATCCCTCATTCCTGTAAAGCTGTCTGGGCTTCAGTTATTGCTGAGGTTTTAAACGCTAGTTGAGTGTCATGAATGTAAGGGCTATCTCCGAAGTCGACACCAAGCCTCCGCTTTCCCTATTTTCAGCTGCTGAATTTGCTTTTGTGGTCAATGACAGAGACAGTCCTGGACTGATTCTCAGCAGGGGCAGGAGAGCTTGCTCTAGAGAAGTGGATTAATCAGTTCACATCTCTTTTAGACACTCAGGGTCACAAACCTCTCAGTTCTTAAATATGTAATTTATATAAATGTATAGACTATCAAGAAAATGCAGAAAATAAGTCCTCTGTAGGGAACTCCAGCTATTTTTTTTTTTTTAGATAGAGTTTCTTTGTGTAGCTTGGAACTCTGTACAGCCCTGTCCTGGCACGCTCTCCGTAGACCAGGCTGGCCTCAAATTCAAGAGATCCATCTGCCTCTGCCTCTGCCTCCTGAGTGCTGGAATTAAAGATGTGCACCACCACCGCCCAACTTCTCCAGCCATTTCTTAAGTTTTGGATTGAATTAAGGGACAGAATGATAGTTATCATGAGTGTGACGTTACAAACATAGAAGTGTCTGTGCCTTTCCACAATGTCAGAATTTCTAAAACACAAACTTTCAAGCCATGTTGGCTTCATCAGCTGTCGCCTGTCAAATAGTCCCAGCTTCCCTTGATAGCAGTGTTGGCAGACTCGGTTTCGTTTATTCCAATCTTAACTTGGTTAACTCTGGGTCACACAGCATAAATCACACAGCACATTTCCCCCTTTCCTCCCTGCTCCCAACCCCCGTGTATGTGTGTTTCTGTGCAGGTTTGTGTGCACACGTGTGTTATGGAATGCCCACGAAGAGTTAGAGGGGTGCAGCAGAATTCCAAAGAGGCCTAACTAGAGGCAAGCACAAAGCTGCCTCTGTCTCCGGAGTGCTGGGATTAACAGCGTGTGCCATCACCACCCGGACACAGGATATAGCCCGGACACAGGATACAGCAGCGTAGTTGCACCTATGGACTCACGGTGACTGGGGCTACATGCACAAGACAGCAGGGCTGGGTCTATCTGTTGCTCTTTATCCACCTGTAGTGAACCACTTTACTTCAGACAGCCTAAGAACCGATGCCCTTCCCGAACCTTCGAAGATCTCTGTATTATGTTATTGACAATCATTCATCAAATGAACTTAAACACCAGAACTGACAGAGGGCAAGAGATTGAGCTACTTTATCATTTTATTCTTCTGAGTAGTAATGGGATTTGAACCCTGAGCCTGTTGTACGTTAGGCAAGCACATGGCTACCCCCAGGCTGGCACATCAGATCAGTCGCCTCCTGAAGCCATGGGAGATCACGGTGCTCTGGTATCTGGAGAGAGGTGAGTGCAAAGGCAAGTCGGCGATCTTTATATCCGGTGGGCCTTTCTTCAGAACGACTTTCCGATCTTCCCCATGGCAAAGCCGCTCTCTGTAACCCCAGAACAGAGAATCTTCCATGGGGCCAGCATAGATCCCACAAGCTTCTGCTTGCTAAGAGAGAAAACACTCTGCTGAACGGCACCAGACGTCATTTTCATCTTAGGTTTAAAGACCCTTCCTTCCTTCCTTTCTTCCTCTCTCTCTCTCTCTCTCCTTCTCCCTCCTTCCCTCCCTCCCTTCCTCCCTCCCTCCCTCCTTCCTTCCTTTCTTCCCCTCTCTCTCTCTTCTTCTCCCTCCTTCCCTCCCTCCCTTCCTCCCTCCCTCCTTCTTTCCTTCCTTCCTTTCTTTTTAAAGAAGTATTTATTTAAGCTGGGCAGTGGTGGAACATGCCTTTAATCCCAGCACTTGGGAGGCAGAGGCAGATGGATCTCCATGAGTTTGAGGCTAGCCTGAGCAAGTGCCAAGAGAGGCTCCAAAGCTGCATAGAGAAACCCTGTCTTGAACCCCCCCAAAAGAGTTATTTATTTAATGTACAATGGTGTTTTGCCTGTGTATATTCTGTGTAAGGGTGTTGGATGCTCTGGAACTGGAGTAAAGACAGTTGTAAGCTGCCATGTAGGTGCTGGGAATTGAACCCAGGTCCTCTGGAGAATAGCCAGTGCTCGTCTACTGCTGAATCTCTAGTCCCTGCAATGCTATTTATTAAGCCATCAAATTATATAAAATAGATCCCAATATTAAGATGGAAGAAAAGCCAGTTATGGTGGTACACACCTTTAATCTCAACATTTGGGAGGCAGAGTCAGGTGGATCTGAGTTTGAGACCAGCCTTGTCTATATGCAAATTCCAGAACAGCCAGGAATATACGACAATTCTCATTCCCTCTTTCACACACCACACACACATAACAAAATTGAAGAAAGTCTTAATAATAAGCGTATATAGACTGGCATTTCATACCTTCGCTTTAATTTCTTTAGTTTTTTTGTTTTCTTTTGTTTTTTAAGTATTAGGTAAAAACACAACCCAAGCTGGGCAGTGGTGGCCTGTGCCTTTAATCCTAGCACTCAGGAGGCAGAGGTAGGTGGGACAGATAGAGCTACACAGAGAAACCCTGTCTCAAAAATAGACAAACAAACCAAAACCAAACCAAACAACTCCCCCCCATATATCTCAAGGAAAACATAACTTCTTTTATTTTATAGCATTGTACAGGGGCATTTTATAAGGAAACAATTGAGCCTTTTTGTTTGTTGTTCGGAGGCTGTCTTGGAACTCTCAAAGTAGACCAGGTTGGCCTTGAACTCACAGAGATCTACCTGTCTCTGTCTTCCAAGTGCTGGGATTAAATGTGTGTGCCACCACCTGGCAACTGAGCCATTTTTTATAATTTATTTTACTTTATGTAAATATTTATAATTTCTAAGACTTCTTTTTTTCGTGCCAGAACATATTTTTATCCAATAGTAACTATTCTTTTGAAAATTTCAAATTATTTATACTTTAATATATTCTAACTCTTTTTAAAAAAATAACTTACTGGATAGGTATGATGGCTCCTGTCTTTAATCCTAGCACTGGGAAAACTGAGGCAGGAGGATCACTGATGTGGTATTGTTTGTGTTCTGACAAATAAAGCTTGCCTGGAGGTCAGAGGGTAGAGCTAGAGTTAACCATGGAGTTCTGGAGATCTATACAGATACATAGGAAATGATATGGCTGGGCAGAGAGAGGAAGTAGACAGAAGCTTGGCCTTTTTCCAAGAAGAAGTGACTGTGTCTGGTCCTTTACTTCTCTGATCTTTCAACTCCACTGTCTGACTCCAGGATTTTATTATTAAGACTAATTAGGGTCACACTTTAGATAGCCATGAGTTCAAAGCCAGCTTGGGCTAAATGGTGAGTTCTAGGATAATCTGACTCCAGAGTTCAGAATTTGAGAGGGGTTAGTGAGAAGGAGAAGGAAGAGGAGGAGGAAAAGAGAAAGAGAGGAAGGAGGAAGGGAGGGAAGAGGAGAGGAAGAAGGGAGGGAGGGAGGGAGGAAGAGAGGGAGGGAGGGAGGGAGGAAGAGAGGGAGGGAGGGAGGCAGGGAGGGGGAGGCTGGGAAAAGAAGAGTCTATAATGGCCAATCTGAATTTGGAAAACTTTCAAATTGACCAGCAGCACTGAGTAGGCAAGTCTTACCTGTAGATCCAGCCCAGCTGTCTCCATGACTCTACTTGAATATTCACCGTCTGAAAACATAGCTCCTGGGCTGCAGTTTTACTTCTCGACACCTCATGAGTGTATGTGGCCTCAAATGCTGTCATTGGCCATTTTAAGTTTGCATTTGGGTTATATGTGAAAATACATAAAATAGGTGTTTTTACAGAGCTATATATGCCTCAGAGAGTATACTAAATTGGCTTTGTTTTCATTATCACATTTAGTTTATTTAGTGAGCATGTGTATGTGAGAGCAGGCCAGAGGATGATTTGTAGGAATCAGGTTTCTCCTTCAAACCGTGGGTCACACACCTTCCTTTCTAACAGCACAGACAGCCTTTAACCTGAATATTTGTGAGAAAATACCTTCAGATTCACTTTCCTGAATTTCATGTTTTCTTTCCAAGGCATAACGTAACGTATCGGGATCATGCCTTGCCTTAGTGAGAACCGTGGTAAGTGAATTTCCTCATACCTGAAGATCAGGAAAGGAGAAAGGAGATTTTTGTCAACTTGGGTCCATGTCATTCTACAACAATGGTTCTCAACCTGTGGGTCATGACCCTTTGGGGGGCAGTCAAACAACCCTTTCACAGGGGTCGCCTACGACCATCAGAAAACACAGACATAGCCAGGCATTGGTGGAGGTAGAGGCAGGCAGATCTCTGTGAGTTCGAGGCCAGCTTGGGCTACACAGCTAGTTCCAGGACAGGTTCCAAAACAATACAGAGAAACCCTGTCTCAAAAAAAAAAAAAAAAAAAAAAAAAAAAAAAAAAGGGGGGCAGACATTTACATTATGATTCATAACAGTAGCAAAATGATAGCAAGTAGCAACAAAAATAATTTCATGGTTGGAGTGATCACAACATGAGGAACTGTATTAAAGGATCAGAGCATTAGGAAGGTTGAGAACCACTGCTCTAAGAAATGGATGCAGTTAATCACATCCTACAGCTGCAGGTCCGAGAGCTGTGCTACTGAGTTTCCTCAAACAGCCAGCCAGCCAGCTGGGTGTGGTAGCTCAGGCCTTTAATCCCGGCAGTTGGGGAGCTAGAGGATCCCTGTAGAGACCATCCTACTCTACATACTGAATACTGGGCGGCAGCCAGGGCTAGAGTAAGACCCTTCCACAAAACAAACAAACAAACAAACCCAAGTATCACTAGGATCAAGTTAGGGCTGAGTATGTGTACTCCAACTCCAAAAGTACATACAACCCAGATTTTCATTTTTATTTGGTGTGTGTATGTGTGTGTGCAAGGATGCCTTTCAGAGGCCAGAAGTGGGTATTAGAGCCCCCAGGGCTAGAACTAGAGGCAGCTCTGAGCTGCTCAATGTGGGTGCTAGCAACTGAACTCTGGTCCTCTGGAAGAACAGCAGATGCTCTGAACCACTGGGCCATTCCTCCAGCCCCTACAGTCTGGTTATAAGATTGAATCTAGTACACCATAATTTGCTTCATACCTATGAATTGTCCAAAGGAAATATGAAGCCAGAGATAAGAAAGAAAAGGAGGGAGGGAAAGATTAATTTGGATTCTGGATTTATCTAAGCCAGAGTCACCATCTCTGCCCAAACTTTTCTGTATGGGACATTTCACTTTCTGTATAAATGCTAAGGAGAAGTGTGTGGTGGTTTGAATGAGAATGGTCGCCACAGGCTCAGCTCAGCTGTTTGAGTATTTGGTACCCAGTAGTAGAAGGGTTTGGGAATGGTTAGGTGTGGCCTTGTTGCAAGAGGTGTGTCACTGGGGGTGGACTTTGAGGTTTCAAAAGCCTCTCTTTCTCTCTCCCTCCCTTCTCTCTCTGCCTCATGCTTGTTTATGAAATGGGCTCTCAATTGCAGCATGCCTGCCTGACTGTTGCCATGCTCCCTGACATAATGATCATAGACTAACCCTCTGAAACAAGCTTCTCATAAACCCTTTCTCCTATAAGTTGCCTTGGACATGGTGTCTCTTCACAGTAATAGAAAAGTAGCTAAGACAAAACTCAAATTTACTGTACTCTTATATGTCCCAGACTGCCCAACACACCGGCAAACAGAAAACCCAGGACTCACTCAGAGTTGATGATGGACACCTGTAATCCCAGTTAATTGGGAGGCAGAGGCATCACAAACTTCAGACCAGCACACACAGGAAATTTAAGGAGATACTACCTCAAAAGATTGAGTCAGAGGGCATGGAGGACACCAGGTGAATGTGGCCACCAACTCAACTAAGCAGGGCTCACGTGGGCTCAGGGACTGAACTGGCAAGCACAGAGCCTACAAGGGTCTTACACCAGGCCCTCAGCATATGTTATGGCTGTTAGCTTGGTCTTTTTACAATCCTCCCAGTAGGAGCAGGGTGTCTCTGACTCTTTTGCCTGCTCTGGAGACTTTTTCCTCCTGTTGGGTTGCCTTGTCCAGCCTTGATGACAGCTTTTGCCTTGTCTTATTGTATCTTGTTTTGCCCTGTTAAGCTGTCCTCTCTTGGAACCCTTCTCTTTTCTTAAGAGGAAATGGAGGGGGAATAAAAAACAAAAATCTGGGGGTTAGGAGAAGTTGAGGGAAAGGAAACTGTGGTCAGAATGTATTGTATGAGAGAAGAACCTACTTGGGCTGCAGCAGAGATGGCATGGCTGAGCAGTTAAGAGCACTTAAGTGTTCTATCATGAGGGCAGGGGTTCAGATCCCAGCACCCACACTGGGCTGCTCACAACTGCCTGTGGTACCAGTTCCCTCCAAATCTTGACACCCTCTCCTGGCCTCCAAGGACACAGACACCACACACACACAGTGTGCTTGCCCATAAACCCATGCAGACACACACCATACATGTAAGTAATGATTTTTTAAATTAAAAAAAAAAAAAAAAAACCAAAAACCCAGAAAAATAAGGGACAAGGGCAGGGCTGCAGTTTAGGTGGTAGAGCTTGCCTAGCATGCATAAAACTTAAGGTTCCATCCCCAGCACTTCTTGGCGGTGCACACCAGTATCCCTAGCACTCTGGAGGCAGAAGCAGACCAAGAATCCAGGGCCATTTTCAGCTATATAAGGAAGTCAAAGCCAACTTTGACTACATGAGACCATGCCCTGGGGGTGTAATGGGGGAGGCTGGCAAAGCTCAGTGGAAGATCACTTGCCTAGCTTGTGTGAGGCTCTGTACTGTCTAATACAATACAAGGAGCCACCAGCCCAGACCCTGAGATCCTCACTTATTGGCAGGCTTAGATGCATTCTCTGCTGCGCTGCTATTGTCCAGTTTCGGTAAAGCAGGACAGGCATCTTTTTCCAAAGCCATCACTGGCAGCAATGACAGAATTCTCACCTAGAATCTCACACAGTCCAATTCTGATGAAACTGCAGCTGTTGATGTAACAATTGTCCTGCTAACACCACAGCAACCCTTAGAAGCTAAGAGTATGCAGCTCAGAGCTATTTTCAAGTGTGTCTGTAAAGTTTCTTTGGGAAAAACATCACCGATTAAAAAATGAGAACACTTGGAGACATTTGGAATTTTACAAACAGGAAAAATCTGTTAGACTAGAGCCTGAGGGTGTGGTTCGGTTATTTGCTTAGCATGACAGAACCTTAAGATTTATTTACTATGTATGTAGTATTATGACTACATGTATACCTGCAGGCCAGAAGAGGACAATAGATCTCAATACGGACAGTTGTGAGTCACCATGTGGTTGCTGGGAATTGATTCAGAACCTCTGAGAGAGCAGCCAGTGCTCTTAACCTTTGAGCCATCTCTCCAGCCTTTAATCAGTCTTTATCACTGTATACAAACCAAGTGTGGCAGTGCACACCTGGAATCTCAGCATTTGGGAGGAAGAGGCAGGAAGATCAGCTGTCCTAGGCCGCCATTGGCTACAGAGGGAATTTGAGGCCATTCTGGTCTACATAGTGAGTTCTAGGACAGCCAGAGGTACACACTGAGATCCTATCTCAAAAAGAGAGAGTAAAAAGCTTCTGGTATTTTGCTTTCAACAAATGGCAAGCAGCTTCCATATAGACTTAAGTTTCCAAGAGTGCTTGAAAGGACTAGTGAGAAAGCTCAGCAAATGAAGACATGTGAGGTTCAGGCCCTACACCCCAGAGCCCACTTAAAGGGGGAGACAAAAATCACACTTTGACCACCCCATGCACACTGTGGCCACATGCATGGCCCCCCACATCTCCATCTCCCTCTCTGTCTCAGGCAGACAATAATAAATAGTTTTTTTTTTGTTTGTTTTTGTTTTTTTTTAATGCCAAAAAGTAGTAGAGTATGGTGGCATAAACCCATAATCTCAGCACTGTTCAGGCTGAGGCAGAAAGACAGGAGGTCAGTCCATACCAAGACCCTGCCCACTCTATTGGAACAATTGGATGTATGAACTGAGTAATCTATGCACATTATAGCATATTTTAATGGAATGTGTTAAAACCAAAGCATAGTTCACCACAAAGACAAATCAGAAAACAAAAGCTTCTTAATGGCATGAAACAGTGAGCTGGACAGAGGGAGCACAGGTAGCATTAGGCGTTAACAGTCACTACATGCAGCAGAATGAGAAATCAAACCCCATGCTGACACACCTGTCAGACACTGCCATCAAAGGCATTTCACTGCCCACATACAATTTTTACTTCAAACAAGAAATAGAAATAGCTCTCCTTTCTCCAGATTCAGTGTATAGTACAGCAACTTCAGTAGAAATGGAAACTATTATTTTTTACAAAGTTCTATTCTTCAAAATGTCCAAAATGTGCCTAAAAGATGTCCAAATCCTGAGTATGGTCCACCTCGATGGCTTCCTCAGCATCCAGCTTTGTTTCGCTAGGTCCTTCCTGGGCTTCATCAAGAGAGGCCAGGGCCTCATTAGTGTCACTGGCAAAAGTTTCTCGTGATGTATCATCATCCTCTTGAAAATTCAGACTTTTAATAGCTTGTTTCATCTTTTTACCCAATAGCTGTGTTCTTCTTTTTCTAGCAGCTTTTTTATTTTCATATTCCTTTTGATTTTCAACGTAGAAAATGTCCTGAAATAAAATGAACTTTGAATAAAAAAAAAACAAGCAAAACACCACGCCATATTATTTATTATATTAGGAGGGAGGCCTTTTATAATAATCTATTACACACACACACACACACACACACACACACACACACACACACACAACTAGTGATCCCATTATCAGAACAGATTTCATGACATTGTCAATTGCTATAGCCAAAACCAATCTACTGTTAGATAAGCCATGCTCACTCTACCCTAACACATTGTTCCCACACATCTATCTGCTAAAAGAGGATCTACCATGGGGAAATTTTGCTTAGAATTTAAATAAACTATTACTGATAACACACACACACACACACAAAACAGATTAAAGATTAAAGATGTACTAACTCTGAAACATCCTAACTATATATGACTACCATCCTAACTATATATATATATATATAACTATATATGACTACGAAATTAAACTGACCTATGTAAGAACGTGTCACTTGCAAAATTTAACAATTCCCTCTCTAAAAAATATTACTGTAGGGACTGGAAAGATAGCAGTCAAGAGTACTTGCTGCTTTTCTAGAGGACCTGGGTTCAGTTTCCAGTTGGCTTACAACTGCCTGTAACCCCAGTTTCAGGAGAGCCTACCCTCCCCCTCAGGCTAAGAGCACTGAACATACATCGTATGTGTACACACATGCAGGCAAACACACATACACACAGTGCTTCTTAACACTGGCATGACTGAGTTCCTAGGCAGGGTATCTAGCCTTTCCCACTACCTATAATATAAAGCACCCCATCCCAAAATATGACAATCAAAAATGTTTTTTGAGGAACAAAACCAATATAAATAAATACATGCTTGTTAGGAGACAGTTTCACTACACTGCCATGGCTAGCCTGGAACTCACTATGTAGACCAGGCTGGCCTCAAATTGTGAGGATCCTCCTGCCCCTGCCTCCCAAATGCTGGGATTACAGGTGTGTAATCCTGTAATCCTTGGAACCATATCCTGGTGTTAAGAGGTAAAATGCATTTTTATTTTAATTTATTGAGTATTTTGATCTTAAAGAGAAAAGCTAATGTTTGGCAATGCAGTAAATGGTTACGATGTTCCTTTCCCATCAAACGGAAACGGAAGGTGGGGCATGGCGATGCACACCTTTAACCTTCAGCACTAAGGAAGCAACCAGGGTTACACAGTGAGACCCCGTCTCAAAAACAAAAACCAAATTATTACCTCCTGTTTTCCCCCAAACATGAACGCAGAGTGCACACTTATTCTTTTTTATTTGAGATGGGGTTTTATATCAAATTTTCAGAGATCTGCCTGCCTCTGTCTCCTTTATATTTTCTATTTTCTACAACTTAAATATTAGACTACAAGGTTCCCAAATAAAGATAAGCAATAAACAAAAACCCAAAAGGAAACAAGAGAAAGAAAAAGGAAAGGATGAAGGCAGGTAGAGGAAAACAATAAGGCTGGGGAGGTACCTCAGTGGGTACCAATCACCAGTGTGGTGATATATATCATTATTTACGTTTAATAAAGATTGTCCGAAGTATCAGAAAGCAGAGCTAGCCATACTAGTTAGCCATAGAAGTTGGGCAGTGGTGGCACACACCTTTAATCCTAAGACTCAGGAGCAGAGGTAGATGGATCTCTCTGTGAGTCCAAGGCCACCCAAGGTACTCGAGAGCTGAATCAGTCTAAAAGATTCAGAGCTCCCGCCTTTAATACCGCCCTAGAGAGGTGTATATAAGACAGGAGTCCAGTGTCTCAGGCTGCATTCTGAGATTCAGTCTCCAGCCATGCTGAAGAGAGGCAGCAGTCTCAGGCTTGGTAAGAGCTGGTGGAGACAGGACCAGCCCTTTCAGCCTGAGGTAGAGGTAAGAGCTAGTGGCTTGGCTGCTTTGCTTTCTGTACCCTCAGGCAAGCTTTAATAAATATCACCACGTATCAGAACCAACATGGTGGAAAGAAACTACTCTCATCAGCATGGGGACCTGTGTGTGTGCTCTAACACTAACACACACACACACACACACACACACACACACACACACACACACACACACACACACTAAACCAAACCCAAAATAACAACAAAAAGCCCTACTCAGCAAGTCTGGTTCAAGTTTCCAAACTACAGACAGACTGTTACCAATGTGGCAATTAAAAGAGTAGTTGCAACACCATATGGACAGAATATACTATCTGGGATGGCAGATGCAGTGGTGGCACACAACTTGAATCCCAGGACTCAGAGGCAGAGGCAGGTGGATCTCTGTGAGTTCAAGGCCAGCCTGGTCTAGAGAGCGAGTTCCAGGACAGGCTCCAAAACAATACAGAAAAACCCTGTCTCAGAAGCAAAACAAATAAATAAATAAATAAATAGGAAATTTAATCTTTTTATTTATTGAATGTGGGTTTTTGTGCATACTAAGCACATGCTACATTGAGAACCTTAGTTCACTTTTATTGCACCTGTAAAAATCTCTTATTACATTTATTCATGTGCATGCTTGTACACGTGTGTCGTGAGGTAGTCAGAAGACAACTTGCAGGAGTCAGTTCTACAGTTTCTCCATGTGGGTCCTAAGACTAAACTCAGGTTGTATACCTTGCTGGCCATCTACTTTAGACACTGAGCCCTCTTGTCCACCCTACTCATGTTCTTAAAACCAATTCTCAAAAAAAAAAAAAAAAAAAAAAAAACTAGACTAGCAGGGCAGTGGTGGCACATGTCTTTAAACTCTGCACTTGGGAGACAGAGGCAGAGGAAAGCAGATCTCTGTGAGTTTGAGGCCAGCCTAGTCTACAAATTGAGCTTCAGGACAGCCAAGGATATTACAGAGAAATCCTGTCTCAAAAACAAACAAAACACAACAACAACAAAAATCAGAAAGAAAAGGAGACTAAGTAGAAGTTCAAAAAGAACTATGCATCTTTTTTCCTCCTCTTTCTAAGACAGGATCTCATGTAGCTCTGGAAGGCTTCAAACTCACAGAGATCCACCTTCCCCTGCCTCTACCCAAGTGCTGGGGTTAAAGGCGTGTACTACCATGCCTGGCTGTCCTCTATCTTTTGGAATGGGATCTTTCCTGGGATGCAGCAACCCTCCTGTCTCTGCTTCTGGGTGTTGGGATTACGTGTGCGCCCTAAGTCTGGCTTTTTGATCCATCCTAAAGCCAAGGACACAGTCACTGTCATTACCTTAATTTGTTCTTCACTGATGCTAGGAGTGTTTTTCAGGAGATTCAGGAAAACCCCACCAGGTGTTCTTCTTCGACTACCATCCTACAAAAAGAAATGGAAAAATTAAACTATAGAAACTCACACAGGCAACTTTTCAAGAGTATTTCAAATGTATTATGAGCAAATACTAACAATGCTGAGACAGAAGTCAGGGCCTTTGCCATGCTAGGAAAGTGCTCGGTTACTGCACCACAACCCCGACTCCCAGACTACGGCTCCAGGAATGATCAGGACATATTTGACTAGCGGTATGCTTATGGAGACAGCCAGAACCAGACTTGAATCCTAGATCTGGT